CCACCACCCCCTATCTCCTTCTTTAACATTCACTTTGCTCCCCAACCTTCTCTTCCATCTCTTCTTCCTCCTCAACACACTTGTAAGTCTCTCTCTCTCTCTCTCTCTCTCTCACATATATATAGATACATGTGTGTATGTATATATATATATATATGTATGTATGTTTGTATGTGTGTGTGTATATTGAATGTTTTGATTGGTTTATAGTGATTGAAAGTATGCATGTTGACATTTTGTGGAAGTTATAATTCACTTGTATTTGGTTGTTGAATCTTTGAATTGGGTGATTTGGATATTGATTGTTTTAGGGTTTTTGTATGGGGTGTTTTGAAGTCGAGTGAGATATACTGGGTTCATTTTGAATATCGATTATGGTTTTAGGGTTTGTACGGGTGTTTCATATGCGAGTGGGATATACTGGGTTCGTTTAAGTTTAATTTGAATACGATTCTTTTGAATGTTGGTTTCCGCATCCCTTATCGTATCTCGACTCCTAATATTTCGACTCCGTGGCATGCATTATTGCAATCAAGATTTCTTGATCATCTTTATATATGTATATATGTGTGTGTGTTGTAGCATTCTATACACATATGCATATATATAGGGTTGGATTCACGTGTGACCATTTTTTACACTTGTAACTTGACAGCAAAAACACTGTAAAACTTCAAGGGTAAAAAAATAGTCTCATGGGTTTCATGAAAACAGATATTTCTCACGCAATCTCAAGTCTATATATATATATATATATATTTATTTATTTATTTATTTATGGTTTTCTTGGAAACAAGTTATTTGTGGGTGTTTTTTGTTTTTATTAATTTTTGTCAAAAAGAATAAAAATTATTTTTCGTGATAGATGCACATTATGGTTATATGGATACAATTATGGTCCTTTGTTTTAACCTACATGGGGTTTCTTGTTTTCTTTCCTTTACTCTCAAATCATGATCCTTTAGTCTCCATATATATGTATAAATGTATATATATATATATATATATATATATATATATAGACTTGGGATCATGTGAGACCAATGGTTTTTCGTAAGACCCGTAAGACCAATTCTCAATCATTGGATTAGATTTACAATTGTCAGATCTGAACATTTATAAACGCCACGAGACTTCTCACTAATTACGAAATTGCTACCTTGCAACTTTGCAACCATTAGATCATTAATTCATAAATTTGATCAATGAACATAAATTGGTCTTACGGGTCTCACGAAAAACCCTTGGTCTCACGTGAACCCA